ACTCGCTGTGGAAACACTAAAGAGGAACTTCCCGCTATTCCAATTCAAATTAAATAGCCGATTAGTCCTCCCTCAAATAATGGTTGAAAAAAGTACCATAGGAGAATCAGCGGACGTTAAGGTAAGGTAATGTTTCAGGATCTAAAAAATGCAGTTATAGAAACGGCGGAAAACATTTCGCCAAGAAGGACCATAATGACAGACCGAAAAATCAAGCAGACGAAGAAATTAATGAAGAAACGAAGAGGAACGAAGTTAGAAGCAGATCAGAAACCAAAGAACGAACACGTGTGACTTTGCAAACTACTGAAATGCATGCGAAAAAACGTCTGAGCATTTAACCGCAGATTAGTAAAGGAAACAAACGATCGAAAGCCCAAGCATGAAGAAATTAAATGAAGGATAATAACGGCTGGGAAACAGCAAATTTTAGCTCTTAAAGCAGAGGATCAGACGGTCATCTGTCATCAGAAATAACAGAGATTCTACAGAGAGTAGAAAATTTCTGTAGAACATTGCACAAAGATGAAGGGAGCAACACGAATGGCGACGGTAAGACAACTGAGTACACAAACGAAGTTCCATTTCAGACAAAATTAAAGATATCTTGCTGTAGGAGAGTGTGACATGCAACGAAACAGTCCGATCGAAGAACGGTTAATGTGAAGAAGGCATTAATTCGGAGGTCGTCGAATCAGGAGATGGAGCAGTGACCAAAATATTAGCGCGCTTGTATTCACATTGTCTGAAGGATCTGAAGATCATTGGCAAGCAGCATCAGTGATTTTACTGCATAAATGGTAGACAGAGAGGATTCGAAACATTACAGGTCGACCAGTTCGTTTTAAATCATGTACGAAGGTACCGAATAATAGAATACAAGAAACTGGCTGCTGCGCGGTCAAAGGAGCTAGCAGGATTTAGAAGTGAATTTAGATAGTTGGGTCATTTCCGGGTCGTACAAAACGTAATTTAAGCAAGCAACGAATATTAGCTTCCTCCTTGCTGGGATTCGTAGATTTCAAGATGCCTTTCCGTTCTGTTCAATCCGTTCTTCACTAGATTCTTTGAGGAGCAAGAGAACGGGGCAAAGATATAAAAACTTCATGGCTACGATTTGCAAGAATGCGAACGTTAGTGTGAAGCTTCACAAAAGCGCAAAAACGCTAAACATCTTAGACAGCGTATGACATGGACGCAGTATCATCGAAGATATTTGCAACAGCCCTAGAAAAGGCTTCTAGACGCTGCATTGGAAAACGGACACTACTGAATCCAGCTTCACTTTGGGAATGACTTACCGATCGTCTCAAGATCTTCAGGGAAGCTACAAAAATGGGTGGGGTAATGAACCTGAAGAATACTCAGGTTATGTAGAACAAATACGTGACCTCATGGCCTGTAGAAATTAACGGACCTAGGCTTGAATAAGCCTAGTGATAACTTGTACTGATGCAGGGTCGCTATATGTACAACGTAAAATCAGTTGCAAAATCAACGGAAGAACAAAAATTGGCATGGAGAACTTGACCGGCAGAAGGCCCAGGGGACGGCCAAAATTAACCCGGTGCAAATATATGGAATGGTCTATTCTAGACTCCAATTGTCTTCTGCCGTAGCTCAGACTCTGGCACAAGATCAGGAACGTTGGAAGCACTGCATGACGCGTCTGCCTCCGCGACCCGAAAGGAGAAGCGGCGATGAAGACGGAAGAAGAAGATGAACTTGAACTTCTTTATTAAGGCAATGACATTGCAGACTCTTGTTTTTGCTGTTATTCATTCGCTCGTTTTCCTGCCTTTCTTGCTATGCCTAACACTCATCTTTCCATGTTGCGTTTATGAATAGTTTTGAAGCTTAATTTCGGTGTTTCGTACCTATAGGCTAGCAGTGAGAGCATACGCTGATGAAACGCTTTCCGTTTCAAGCCAACGGACAGCTTTTCTCATAAGAATACTTCTAAGCTTCCAAAGCTCTCCATCTTCAAGTGGCAACGGGTTGGACACGTGGCTGAACAAGAGAAACGTTAGAATGGGTTCCAAGAAAGCGACAAACGGCCTTTATGATGACATCCAGATCGATGGCACGATGAGCTGAATATGGTCGCTGGTTCAAGACAGATGAAAATGGCAAATACAGAAGTTTATGAAGGGTCTCAATAAAGCAGTGGAATGAAAATACTGATGACAACGACCAAGAGGGTCAAATTGAATTGCAGCATATTGTGCACCGCGAAATCGCATGACCGCATACCTCTAAACTCGGCTATGATCACTCCAGAACATTCCTATTCTTCGAATGTCGACCAATTTTTAGCCATTTCTTTCAGACATCATTAATCTGGGTATTAGATCCTTGACCTTGATCCCTCAGATGACGATGATAACAGCAACCCGTCTCTATGTTTTGCAATGAACAATAATGGGATAATTTCTTTGTACAAATAAGTTAGTAATCAGTGTTTAATCTGAGCATTAAAGATTCGCTTAGCGCTTAAAGTTTGGCATCGCTTAAATTCGAAACAAACTTTCAACCCGTTTTTCCACTGCCCCCCTCTCTTCAGTACACTCGAGCAAACTGATCCTTGTTCTGCGTTTTTCTAGCGGCTGTGGTAAAGAGCTTGCGCTACCGCTCTCACCTCTTTCATTGTTTGAGGCAAAGTTTCGTAGGAACAGACGTGAGCATCAAAACCGCATCACAGCGTTATATTTATCAGCAGAAGAAAATATGATGAAGTATTCTGCACTCCGTCTCCAGAAAAAGGGCATGATGCTTGCATGGAGCCGATAAGATGAGAAACCGCTTGGTTCTATCGTAAGGCATTCGTAGCACCTTTTCAAATTCACAATAAATAGACTGCATAATCGAGTCTGTCATGCGACTGAGAAGAATTTACGTTTTGCTTAAAAAAATTTAGGTAACAGCTGAAAAAGAATCTGAAAAGTTTCTTCATAGCCGCAGAAGTAATATGTGCATCTCTACTGTTCAGCCACAAATCTCAGTAGATAATTCAGCCTCAGTTCATGGAGAGTCGCAGAACACATATGAGTAATCGTAATAACAGAAAATTCGTCGCAACGTCGAGATCGATGATAATTATCGGCTACTGCCATTATGTCCGTCGGTAATCTGCTTGGCGATTATTACACGCATCAGTGTTACTCGACTGAGAGTATGGTATCGCTATCACTATCAGTACTGAGGAACAAAACGAGTCGTAAACCACAAAGCAGAGTCTACACTAATGGTCTGGCTTAATGGACTTTACGCATTTATGTGTGCTTTTCGGCAATTCAAAATCACGTCGTTTAAACCAAAAACTTTGATCTGGTTGAAAACAGGATAAGAGATTTACTAGGAAATAAGCACGGTGCCTCGTGTGACCAGTGCATGGCAGTCGTGCGAATGACAAAAGCCATTCTGTTAGATTTTTAAGGAACTATGGCTGCAGTGCATTTTGGCCTGATGACGTTCACACGAATTCGGTTTCTCCATCACCAGTCAGTCATTGCCGCTTGTGTCCGGCTTCAAGGCTTTACACATGCTGAAAGATGACGTGTTGGACGACGACTAAATTTGCAAAGCGAACCACAAGGTTTATTATCACAAGTGTATGAAACATGTACGAAATTCAAGTAATGATTAGTACCTCGAGGGGCTATTTGTAGGCGTTCGATCGATAGCCTTGAAAAATCATTAAACAGGCCCACTGTGTAAAGTATGATTGAGCCCTGGACAGAGGAGCCCAGTCGCGTGCCAAGGAGCTGAAAATTCTTGCATCGAAGGAATAAAGGTAGCTTGCACCTGACCCCCCC